TTTTCACTAATTCAATAACTAATTAATGTTTTCCTTGGAGTCACAGCCTCATTTCATTCATTTTCAAGAAAATGTTTCCCAAATATCTAGATCTTGGTTTGACTGTTAATCATTCCTTCAAGTAAAAATGGCATGCATGAAAAAGTGCTAGTTTAACTGGAAACTCAAATACATTGCACAAGTATTTTTCCTGATGACAACCATAATATTTTAGTATGCAACATAAGTGCTTTATGCATATTTCCTATTTTGTCACAAAGAATATTAAAAAGATATACTTGAAATTAAGATTTAATAAAATTAACAATATTCACTGTTTCACTGAGGATATTATTGACTGAAACTGATGTTTTAAACTTTAAGTGCATGGTCGCTTTACCTACCATTATGATTATGCCATAATCCAAACGTCAATGCAGTAAAAAAGGCAGATAATGTCTTAGCAACACGATGAACACTTTGATGCAACAGATCTCCTGAGAAGATCTTGGGGAACCCCAGGAGTCCATCTACCACACTTTGAGAATCACTGCCACAAAGGATAAAGTTTTAACTAACTAAAGTTTTAATATGTCAAAATCATCATCAATAATAACAAAGTGAAATCCTCAGTCAGACTATATGACTAAATCCTTAGTCATATAGTTATGACTAAGTCCAACATCAGTTCTGCAAAAGTAAGACTCACAAAAGCAATTTTGCACAATCAGGGACTCTTAGAGGCTAAGGTAAGGTAGAAGCAAGACGTGAAAGCATCTGAATGCCATGGACTATAACCAACGACCTGAAGTCACTGCCATGTGAGGGCCGCTGAGTGGAGAGACATCACCCCAGCCACCCCTCCTCACCCCTCCTTTCTGTCTTCTCGGTAATGAGAGAGCTGAGGGTATTGTACCAGCAGCAGCAGCAAGAGTGAGGCAAATACAACACAGAACTTTCTAGGCTGTTCCAAGGACCCTGGATCCAGTGTGCCTGGGGTTCAAGCTCTCTCTCCTGCCACTAACTAACACACATCCTTGGGCAAGTCCTCACATCTCAGGGCTGGCTGCCTCAGTCTCCTCATATATAATATGAATATAATACTAATACTTTTCTCATAAACTTATTATAAGGATTAGATGAAATGATGTCATTAATTAATGAGCACAGTGCCCAACAGGGTAAATATTCAGTAAATGGATCTTATTAATACTAAGACACATGCTTCTGTGCTGATTCAGGAGCTCTGGCGGTGCAGTGGTTAAAGCATTCGGCTGCTAAGTCAAAGGTCAGTGGTTTGAACCCACCAGCCTCTCTGCAGGAGAAAGATGAGGCAGTACCTGTTTCTGTAAAGACTTACAGCCTTGGAAAGCCAGTGAGAAAAACACTGCTCTACATCCTACTTTGGTAAGTAGCGACTGGGATCTTAAAAGTTTGCAAGTGGATTTTAAGAAGCAACGGGTGGTCTTTCCTCATCTACAGCAAAGAAGGATGAAGAAAACCAAAAACACATGGAAGCAATCAGTCCAAGGGACCAGTGGACCATGTGAACCTCAGCCTATATGACTATCAGACCAGAAGAACTAAATGGTGTCCGGCTACTACTATCAACTTATCAGAAATGGATCAGTGTAGGAGATCCTGGATAGAGTGGGAGAACAAAGTGGAACAAAACTCAAAGTCATAAAAAAGACCACTCTTACTGGTCTGATAGAGCCTGGTGATACCTCTAAGACTACGGCCCGCAGTTACCCTTCAGGCCTGGAATTGGACTCATTCCCAGGGCTTCCAGCCAAACAACAGACAGACATATAGGGTCAACATTTACACCAGGTAGATACATTCCTTAGAAAGATCAACCAAGGGAGAACAGAAGAGCAGTATTTGCATAGGGAGATAGCTCAGGGGGGCAGGAGCGCATAGGAAAGAAGGACACAGGGAAGAGGTAACCACAGGGACAAAGTGGAAAGAGAACTATTGTTATATTGTAGGGACTGCAGTCAACGTCATGAAACAAAATGTGTATGAACTAAACCCACCCACTGCCATCGAGTCGGATCTGACTCATAATGACCCTTCCTTGGGTTTCCAAGGCAACATCACTACGGAAATAGATTGCCCAACCTTCCTGCCAAGGAGTGGCTGGTGGGTTTGAACCACCAGCTTTCAAGTTAGCAGTCAAATGCCTTAAGCACTCCTCCACCAGAGCTCCCATGTATCAACTACTATATGGAAAATAAATTTGCTTTATAAACTTTCACCCAAATCGCAATAAAAATAAAAAAAAAAAAAAAGAAAGAAAAGAAACCCTGGGAAGCAGTTCTACTCTAGGCTACCAGTCGCTATGATTCAAAATCAACTCAATGGCAGTGGGTTTTGCTTTGGCTTTTTGTCATTGGTTTTCTGTGCTGATTCACTGCCCGGTCTTCAGTAACTCTTCCCTACACGTATAAATGCTTAGCCCAGCATGCTGTCAGTGCTGGGTGTTTAGTAGCTATTGCTTTCTCTCTCTCTAGCCAGACCAGAAAGCTTGTCTGGACCTGTCACTTCGTCCATGCTGCTTGAGTATCATGAATCTCTCACCAATTCACTGAGAAGTCTGATGATTAACGATGACAAAGTATACATAAATGTGCAAATTACCATGTAGAAATGTAAATGTTTGTTTTAGTGGCAGAATTATATTTTTATATTCTTCGAATTGTTTTTATTGGTATTGAAATATGTTTGGGAAAAAAAAGGGGGGGGGGACTGCTTTAAGAAAGAAAAACTAGCCAAACATTTATCCTCCTAACAGAGGGGAAAAAAAAAAAATTCCTTTTCTTTCGCTAGTAGGTCTCTGTGATAGGCAGAATAATGGTCCCTCAAAGATGTCCACAGGAGCTCTGATGGCATAGTGCCTATGGCATGTGACTACTAACCAGAAGGCTCATGGTTCAAACCTATCAGCCACTCCTTGGAAGGAAGACTGGGCAATCTACTTCTGTAGCAATACCACCTCAGAAATCCAAGGAAAGGCCCCTATAAGTTAGATCTGACTCGATGGTAGTGTGTTTGGTTTTTTGGTTTTAAAGATGTGTACAGGATCTCTGGTAGTGCAGTGGTTAAGGCATCAGGCTACTAAACAAAAGGTCAGCAGTTCGAACCCACCAGCCACTCCATGGGACAAAGGTGAGGCAGCTGCTTCTACAAAGATGCCACTTTGGGGCAGTTCTACTCTATCCTATAGGGTTACTATGAGTCAGAATCAACTCGATCTCAGGGTTTTTTTTAAAGATGTCTACATTGTAATCCCCGAGAACTGTGTTGTGATTAAGTTAAAGACCTTGTGTTGGGGAGATTATCTTGGATTATACAGGTAGAACCTGGATAATGTAATCATAAGGGTCCTTAAAAATGGAAGAGGGAAGCAGAAAAATCCAAGCAGAAGAAAATATGACTATAGAAAAAAGGCACAGACAGACACAACACTGCTGGCTTGGAAGATGGAGGAAGGGGGCCCTGAGCCAAGGAATGTGGGTGGTTTCTAGAATTTGGAAAGGACGAGGAAACAGATTCTGCCCTAGAGCCTCCAGAAAGGAATGTAGCCCTTGTGATGTATTGATCTTAGTTCACTGAGAACATGTTGGAATTATGAACTAAAGAGCTGTAAGATAATAAATTTGCATTGTTTAAGCCACTTAGTTTGTTGTAATTTCTTATTGTAGCAAACAGAAAATTAATAAAGCCTCAAAGATTATCTAATCAATCTTGCTAAGTGCCAAGGCACCATGAAATAAGTAACCTGGTCTCCAGAGTGGAAACTAACAATTCGCTTCACTCATTCCACAGTCCAATTTTCGGCCATTTACTTTTTTTTTTTAAATGTTGTGGATATATTGCTATAAGTCAGAACCGACTTGATGGCAGTGGGTTTTATAAAAGTCAGTTCCAACTCATAGCAATCCCCTTTGGGTTTCTGAGGCAGTAAATCTTTATGGAAGTAGATTGCCCAGTCCTGCTTCTGCAGAGTGGCTGGTGAGTTTGAACCACCAACCTTCTGGTTAGCAGTCAGATGCCTTAGGCACTGTGCTTCCAGAGATAGATAGATAAATAGATAGATAGATAGATCAATCTTTATAAAACACAGTATTTGCCAATTCTACATTTTTTCACATATAAATTCAGCGATACCAGTTACATCATTCATGTTGTGCAATTATCACCAACACCCACTACCAACAACTTCTGGCCATTCAAATGTGATAAATTAAGAAATTTAAAAGAGGTCAAGGGACACAGAATCTCCGTTTAACAAAGTACACTGAACTCGATTAGAGTAAGTGTGTGATCCACACTTTGAGACAGACATTCATTTCTACTTGTAAGGAACTTATAATTAAGGTGCTGATTAAATATAATTCCAATTCCTAATAGATAAATGGGAGCTCTGGTGGTGCACTGCACAAGGGATTTGACTGCTAACCAGAAGGCTGGCAGTTCAAACCCACTAGCCACTCCTTGGAAGGAAGACTGGGCAATCTACTTCCATAGAGATACAGCCTTGGAAACCCAAGAAGGGGTGGCTATGAATATATACCATACATATTATCAATATATATGCATGTTTCCAAAGACAGGTCAGCAGCCAGGGCAAGGGTGCTAGACTGGAAGTGGCCCAGAAGACATAAATGCTTCCCTGTTTACATCAATAAACCAGTTACAGAATTAAACCAGATGAGCTCCCTATCTGCTTTCTCCTATATGGCTTGAGACTATATTAAATGGAATCTTGGCACCTTATAGACCGTTCATGGAATGTGGCCCCCGCCCTCCTCAGTGAGCACATCCCTAAGCCAGAACCCTTCTTGGCCTTGCCACCTGTCTCACCTGCTTCTTTATGAGGTGATGATGTGCTGGTCCAGGGTGTGTCATCCTCAAATTGAACCCAGTTGCTGATGGCTGACGCCAGGTCAGGAGTGGGCTGTCCAGGGCTCTCAGGAAGGGAGGCCACTTCAGAGATGAGGCCTATCTTTTCCGAGGAATCATCCTGCTCTGAGGGGGAAAGGTCCTGGGAGCCTCCATCCACAACATGGTTCTCCCTGGAGGAGGTTTCGGACTGGTCTGAGGAAGATGACAGTCCTTGGAGGTGCTCTTCGGTGCCCCCTGAAACATATACCAGAAACCACCATTATGGTGAGGAAGGCTACTCTTCAGAGCTGTCATCAGAACAGCAAAGGGCAGATTGTGAGTGACCAGTGAGTGGGGGAGAGGAAAGAGACATGCCTATCTTGCCTTTATGCTAAAGCATTGTTTTCCTAACCTTTTCATATCCCTAAGTCAATATCTGGGAGCTCTGGTAGCATAGTGGCTAAGACACTT